TATATATATGATATATATCATATATATATATATATTTTTCATAGGGACTTAGTGCATGTACACAACATCTCACAGTTCCCTCCTTTTCAATTACATTTTCCTTTCCTTCTTATATCCTTTCTCTCTCTCTCTCTCTCTCTCTCTCTCTCTCTTTTCCTTCCCCATAAGCTAAATATCCATCTTGCTATTTCCTATTGTCTATCTTCTATTTTGCAATTAATTTATCTTTTGTGTTTCTCATATGAGAAACCACACAATATTTAAGCTTGTATGTCTGATTTACTTTCCGTAACCTTGTGGTTTCAAAGTGCACCCATTTTCCTTCAGTTCATTCCACTTTATCCCCCTTTATGTCAGAGTAGCACTCCATTGTATATAAACACTACATTTTCTCTAAGCATTCATCTGATCATGGACATACAGATTTAACTATTATGAGTTGTGCTGCTATAAACATGGATAGGCATGTATCACTGTAATATGATGTCTTTAACTTTTTCAGGAAGATACCTAGAAGGGGAATAGCTGGGTCAAATAGAAGTTCTAGTTTTAATTTTTTAAAGAAGCTCCATACTGATTCAATAGTGGTTATACCAGTTTATACTCCTACCAACAATAAAGAAGAATTCTGTTTTTCCTCCCACGACTCTTCAGTATTTGTTATTATTTGATTTTTCAAAAATAGTCATTTTTTGCTGGAGTGAGATGGACTTTCAGTGCTGTTTTAATTCACATTTCTCAAATTAACAGTGATGTTGAACATTTTTTTTCATGTATTTTTGGCCATTTGTATTTCTTCATCTGAGAAGTGTCTATTCTTTTCAGATGCTCATTTTTTGATTGTCTTTAAATTTGTACCTAATTTTTGAGTTCTTTATGTATTCTAGGTATTATACCTTTGTGAAGTAGCTGGCATTTTTCACCTATTTGTAGGTATTCTCTTCACTCTGTTGGTGGATTCCTTTACTGTACAGAAGCTTTTAAATATATTATGATTCCATTTGCTGATTCTTGGTATTATTCCTTGTTCAGTGGGGGTTCTTTTTAGAAAATTCTTGCCTATAGCTATGTCTTCAAGAGTTTACCTATTTTGTCTTTCAGCAGATTAAGTTTTTATATTTTAATACTTAGATTTCTGATCTATTTTGACTTTAGTTTGGTGCATGGTGAGAGACATAAGTCCAGCTATTATCTTTAGCATGTGGATAGCCAGTTTTCCCAGAACCATTCATTAATGAGAATATCTTTTCCCCAGCAAAGCTGTATGGCCCTCTTGTCAAAGACAAGGCACCTAAATGTGCCTGGCATTGTTTCTGCATCATCTGTTCTGTTCCACTGTCCCACAAGTTTAGTTTTAATTTTTTTTAACTCACTTAGCTTTGTAGCATAACTTCAAGTGTGGGATTGTGATGCCTTCTTCCTTGCCCTTGTTGGCCAGAATTGCTTTTGCTATTCTAGGTATTTTCTAGTTCCATATGAATTTTAGGATTACTTTCTCTAGTTTTGTGAGGAATGCTACCGGTATTTTGATTGTGATTACAGTAATTTTTGATAACAGTTTTTAAAATATGCCATTTTGACTAAATTGGTTTTTCCTATCCAGAAACAGGGGATATCCTTCCATTTTCTGATATCCTGTTTGATTTCTTCATTTATAGTATGATAGTTTTCATTGTAGAGGTCTTTTACTCCTTGGTTACGTTAATTTCGATTTAATTTTTCTTGATACTATTGTAAAAGACATTATTTCCCTGATTTCTGCCTTAGTGGGTTTATTATTGGTGTTTTGATTTTTATGTGCTGACATTTTATCTTACTACACTACTGAATTTGGTTAATAATGCTAGGAGTCATTCAGTGAAGGTTTTGTGGTCTACTATGCAGAGAATCATGCTATCTGGAAATAATAATTTATTCTCTTTCTTAGTCATATTCCTTTCAGTTCTTTTTCCTGCCTGATTGCTTTGGCTAATGTTTGAGAATTTTATTGAACAGAAGTGTTTGTACAATTTTGTCTTATTTCTGATTTTCAATAGAAAGCTTTCATATTCTTCTGATTTTTAATATGATTTTGGTCCTAGTTTGTCATAGATGGTTCTTAATGGATAAAGATAAAGTCCTTCTACACTTACTTTCTTCAGAGTCCTTTTAAAAATCATGAATGGATATTAGATTTTGTCAAATGCTCTTTTCTGTGTCTATTGCAATGTGTTATTTTTGTCTTTGTCTCTGCTGATGCGGTAGGTTATATTTATTGATTTGCATATGTCTAACCATTCATCCCTGCCTCCCTGGAATGAATCTTACTTGGTCAGGATGTATGATGTTTTTGATGGTTGATTGTATTCTTTTTGCCAGTATCATATTGAGAATTTTTGTGTCTATGCTCACTAAAGAGATTTTCTTATTTGGTTGGGTCCTTTTTTGGTTCTGGCATCAGGGTAATGGTTGCTTTCTAATTTTGGCATCAAGGTAATGACTCTGGGAGTACTGCTTTCCCTTTTGATTTCATTAAAGATTTTGAAGAGTATTGGTGCTAGATCTGTCAAATTGTTGTTTAATTTGGCAGTGAATCCATCAGGACATTGGTTTTTCTCAATTCATAGTTCTTTAAAATGACTTTTTCAATTTTATTGATAGATGTTAGATTATCCAGGATTTTTATATCTTCTTGGTTCATCTTTGATAGTTCATATATATATCTAGGAATTCATCCATTTCTTTTGAATTGTCTTTGTCTCTTCTGACCAATTTTGGCTTGGAATCTACTTTATCTAAAAGTAGCATAGCTACTCTTTTTTTTTTTTTCTGGTTTCTGTTGAACTGAATTTCCATTCTTTGATTTTTAATCCTTTTTAAATTAAATGTATCTCTCGTATACTGCATATTGTAGGGTTTCTTGATCTGTTTCTTGATCTGTTCTGGTAATCAATGTCTTTTGATAGAGGAATTGAAACCATTCACATTGAGAGTTGTTACCAAAAGAGATCGACTTATTCCTGTCATTGCGTTATTTTCCTGTTGTTGAATCCTTTAGTTTT